CTATACCATGACAAAAAAGCCTTCTGATCCTCCCAGGTTCTCATTGGTTGTCTAACTTAGATAGGTTCATGATTGAGATGAAATTCAACAATCTCTGCAACCCCATCGTAATAAATAGGATTAGAATGTATATAACAGGATGTATAATTTTTTCACAGCAACTTAAACTCTCTTGAGATTTAAAATCAAGGAAGTGACTGAGCATGTATTTGTTCATATGAGTACAAATAACTTTTCCCTCCTAACTCTAATTTATGTTGTCAGTGTTCTGATTGGCTAGTAATCGGATAAATTTTCACCGTTTTTAGCTATTTAAGATCATTTGTATAAAATCAGTTCCATCAAATAACCATCTGTGTTCATGATACTTTATGTAAGTTTATCATTATGACTGAAAATCAGCTGATGCCACGAGAATTAACTTTTTAGCAGATAACAATCTTGTTTCAGTGTTGTTCTTGGAGGACTTGTATGACATAATTTTGATGAGAAGTCTCCTGAGCATCTTAAATAATGTAAAAATGTTTGAGAAATATTTTACTCTCTTTCTGAATGCAAGATTTAACTCAAAGGTTGAGATGTGTTAATATTTAACCTGATCATATGGGGAGTCAAGTAGTTGAGTATGTCAACCAAGTCACTTGATCTTAAAGTTCCATTATTTATGATAGACTAGAGGCTGACAAAATCAACAGAAGCTACAGCAAACTAATTGTTCAACTTTGAATTACTTTAATGCTATGAAACATATTCTTTGAAAAATGTGAACGAGTCCATGTTTCTAGAATAAGATTAAGGATTCTTTTGAAGAATCGCTCGCTAAATAACCAAGTGAGCAATGCTGAGGGCAAATGTAAAATACTGAATAAATATGAGAAATTGGTTGATTAGACCTTAAACATTTATCAACTGAGGTAATTGACACATACTTTACCTAGAATCAGTTACGATCTACTCCAGTCTAACATACTTGCTAGTATAGCAAAGTAAGTTGTAAGAAGGTTAAAGCCAACCAGCCCAAGTCATGATGATTAACAATCGATGAATTCATTAACCACTGAACTGAGCTAATAGTAATTAAATTTGAATTTCAGTTAAATCACCTACTAGGTATAACCACACGATTTTAAAGTTATTAAAAATGTATAATTTCCAAGACATCAAAAAGCAATCAATCAGTTAACGAATACATTCATTTTTAATCAATAATTATATCAGTATGGGGACTTGTGGGGATTGTAGTATTTTCACAGTTGAAATCACAAGTCGATTTAAGTTAAACTACCATTAAAAACCTGTAAGCACTGGACGGTCGTTTAATCTTTGTATGGGACTCCTCAACATCCTCAGCATCCACGATCACGCACACAAGACTCGAAGACACGAACGTTTAGTCATTAGACCACCGAATCCGGATCCAATGATATTAATGTTTAATATCAACCATTCTATGATCTTGCGTAACCCTTCATCCATTATCTGAGGTCAATAACCACCATTTCACACCCGACACGATTTGGACTACACTGGTCACAGTTTCTTACTAGGATTCTAGGGGTTACACATCTTGAAGAAGTTAATCACTTGTGACAATATGATTGTTATATCAGTATGCAGATTTATAGAGACTGTAGTATTTTCTAGCTTAGATCGATTCGTGATTTCAACTATCAATGATTATATGTTATCTTAAATGATTATCATGTAAATGAGATAATATAGTAATTATTTATACTACAGTGTGCCAACTGTCCAATTTGTATGCATAAATTAATTAACCAACTATATATATCAAAGAATTTATTTTATTAAAATTTATTCATATACAGAATGTTTATTTAGTGATATTTACACAATTAGGTTAAACGGGTACACATCAAACACAAAAATGGAATAAGTAAAACGAATCCATACCCACCCACACACACACACACGCACACATGTAAAAACAAAATGACAATATCCAATAATGACGTGAATAAGGTGTATATATTAAATCATCTGTCTCATAGGCAATATGTCTACTCGTTTATTTCAACGTACTTATACATGCATACATATACACATTTTCATTTACATTAGATATGTATATGTATATATATCGTGAATATCGACTAGTACAAGTTTTTCATTGTTAAAGGAAATAATGCATGTTATTAACAAGTACAATAATAATTATAGTAATGGTAATATCTATGTATAAGTAAAAATTTATAAGCAGAGATAGTGGCTGGCAGTGGAATGCAGGACGTATGTTTCGTCATATTTTGGACTCGTCAGCTGAATGTACCTAGATCCCACTGGCGGATTCAAACAACCAATACAAAAAAATGAAATGAAGTTTCACCCAATTGCATAGGCTAGTGGCTATCTGAACTCAGTAGCCAAATGAATAATGTGATAGTGTTTGAAGCAAACGGTACTGAGTTCGAGTCCCAGAGTGAATATCAACTATGGGTAGCCAGTACATTTAGCTGACGAGTCACAAATAGGACTAAACGCGTGTCCTGGGTCCCACTGCTAGTTACTATCCATTTCTGTTTATAATACTTGTGACTTAAGGCAACAAGGAGGCAGTCCGCACAGGATGTACATATCTCAATAAGAGACTGATCAATTGAAGTCCTAAATGTTAATGGGAAGATTCAAATAAACAGTACAATGAAAAATCTAAACAAATCATGTTTACAAATTTACTCTTTTCAAGATAAGACAACTTCACTATTCATCAGTTAATAGTCCTCCTCCAACAACACTTTTTTCGTGGGTAAAAGAATAAACATACAAAACTGAGTCTGTACTCTGTTCTCACGCTTTCAATTGAAAATAAACGTCTAACATATTAATATGAACTATGTGTATATATAATAACATTAGTAAGAAATTAGTCATATTTATAATATTTATCCATCATTTCAAATTGTCACGCTATATCAGGATAGTCAGATGAAATTATCAAGACGAATCCCAAAGTAATAGAAATAGTAACAATATCAATGGTATTAAGAAATATTAAGTATAAACAATATGATTCAAAAAGAATGCATTTGAGGAATAAATAGGTGTATGGTTATTTCAAAACTCAAGTGTGGACAAAGAAGTGAGTGTATCAGTGTTATTACAACCAAACCGGAATCATTTCAGCCAACCCTTCATACAACTGGTTGCAATAATCACGGTAATAGAATAAGAGATTAGTGGGGATTGTTGAATTTAAAAGTAGTCAAAAACTGAATGAAGCTACACACTAAGGAGTATCGACAAATCATGGCCATGTAAAATTGCGGATAGACTGAAATTGGAAATGTAGACTATTGGGAAGCTGAATTCAGTGATCTAAAAGTAGTGTGACAGTCGCAAGGCATGAAGATCTTTGGTTCGATCGATCCCTGAAAAGATTGTGGGTGTGAACATTACATAGGAGTCCCGTGCTACAAAGAAACAACTATCGCCAGTGCCCCTTGGTTTAACATGTAAACTATCCTCAGAATGAAATTCTTATCATTATTCACTCCTATTTGTTTAACTGAAATATTGATAGAATATGATGGGATTTGAACTTACAAGTTTTTTTTCTAAAGGTTATGTACTCTCAGCTGGATAATTTAGTCATATCCCTTTTACTGTCTTTTTAGACAACATATTCTTAGAACATATCATCACGTTAACCCAATATTCACCAACCCTCATCATATTTCATTGATTTCAAAGAAGAAAATTATGTGCTGATACTATTGTTTAGAAAGATAATGGAAGTTTCATTACTTGATCATCTAATTCAGAGAACATAACACCTTCAAGATATTCATTCTAAACTATAAATATTCATTATCATCTTAAACTCTCGACTTAATATCTAATTCATATATATCCGCCATCTTTTAAACCACTTATTTCACTACCATTAAAATTAAAAAATATTATCTGTTTCTAGGTGAAATTCCTAAAAAATATATCAAACGTTTATCAGATTAATCAGTTTTAGATGGGATACTATATTTTATTACTTTTTTTTCTCATACGAATTTATTTAACTGTTATACATTCAACTACAGTTTGGGTAGATTGGTGTATATAAGATGGAAAATAATAGTTTTGATTGCCAAAAACATTTATAGGTTAAATACGGACACTTAGAATTTATAAAGATCAGAAACCTAATAATAATATAGACTGGATGGAGTGTGGCTAGCAGCGGAATCAAGGACGTGAATTTCGTCCTCTTTGGGGCTCGTCAGCTGGAAGTACTTGCATCCCACCACTTGTGTAATGGATATGAAATTTAAATATCAACAACCGGATAACCAATACCAAATTAAATTGAACTAACAATAATATTAGTGAAACTCATCTACTAATTACAATTCTGTGAACTTGGCTTTAAAACACATAGTTTTATGTAAAGTGATTGGAGGTATTCGACGAGGAACCTTGGACCTAAGTTTCATGTTGGTTGGCACTGGTCGACTAATTGTACGTGTATTGGAAGCAGTCTTTACTCGAATAGCCCAGTGGCAATGTCTCAGACTGTGAAGTCAAGTAACGCGGATCTGAGAATCTAGGTTTCAAAGTTCGAAGGACAAAAGTGATCTTACAAAATTAAAATTAATAATAGACACAAAACCCTGCACATTGTGACACTAAGGGACACTGGTTCTAATTGCATGAAAAGTTTCCATTCGATCAAGATTGTACATATGTTATGAGGAATAGTATAGACTAGAATGGAATCTAGATCAGAAAAATCGTTTTGTTGAATGCATTCAGCTTATTAATGCTAACCATACATGGTGGATCACGATGTCGGACCACATAGACTAACAGCCACATGATAATGTAATCAATAGAGTTCAGTAACATGAAAATGATTACTACTCAGTGATTAAATCGTTCAGAGAAACTGATGATAATTTAGTTTTTGGATAGTGCTAATCCAACTGACATCAACTTGTAGTGAGATTTTAAAAACAAGACAAAAAATAAAAAATAATTCAACTTACCTAGCTCGAAATGGCTGGAAATCAGTGGCGTTCTTCCAAACACTACTAGATGAAAATGAAGTATCTGGAAATTTATCAACTGAATTAATTAAAGGGTCTGCACATTGTGGATCTTGACCAGGACCGCGACGTATAACTACAAACAGAAACATATAATGAATAAACGTTGAGTGAGAGAAATACTGAATGATTGTATAGTAACATGTAATAGCTTTGAGAATAAATACTAAAATTTTTAAAATAATGTCTTATATTATTGAAACTGCAGATAGATAAATTGATAGACATCAATAGAAAAATGCATGCAGCTACGTTGTAACAACCCATCGCACAGCATTATCGACAGGAAATCCAACAAGAAACTACGTAAACAAGTTGACACATTAATGACTGAAATAATTAAAGGAAATTTTGTCAAAATGATTAGATTTGATCAAGAAATGAAAAATATAAGCTTAATATCAGAAGGGGTTTGTGGAGATTATAGTATTTTCAATAGTTGAGACCATGAGTCAATTGAAGCTAGACCACTATGGAAAACTGATGGGTGATGGGTTCGAATCCCGCAAGGCGGGGTCTTGGATGCTCACTGCCGAGGAGTATCACAATAGGACGAAACGGCCGTCTAGTGCTTCCAGATTTTCCATGGTGGTCTAGCTTCAATTGACTCATGATCTCAACTATTGATATAAGCTTAAGTTGAAAATTTACGCGAAAGAATCCTTTATGTTCAACTGAAACCAATTGTGATCGATAACAAACCGGATTTTTAATGATATTAATCAAAACGTTTACAACATCAGACACATCTCCGACTAACAGTTAGAAACTCCACAGGCTGACACTATATCTTAGTTTGGTCGTCCTTAGCTATTTCCCAACATACTCTTATGTATCAGGATTAGATGGTAATGAATGAACAGCTGTAATGTGAGTGAAAATGACGTCAATTAATAAGGATTCACAATTAATATCAATCAGTTTGGTACTTGTATCTAGTACATTACATATTACCATAGGCCCTGGGTCCGAATACCGCAAGCGGAATCGTGGATGAGCACTGACGAGAAGTCCCACAATAGGACGAAACAGCCATCCAGTGCTTCCAGGTTTTCCATGGTGGTCTAGCTTCAACTGACTCATGATCTTAACTATTGAAATTACTACAATCTCCACAAAACCCATCTGATATTAATTCACAATTTAATCAACTTTATTGTGAACAGTTTTATATGAACAGTAAAAACACTAGAGAACAAAGGTTGTTTACGATTTCATTGTCAAAGCTGTAACATGTGTCATATACCATAGATATACATACGTATTTAGTGTATAGTCAGTCAATTAAGTTATCGTTATTAATTAAGGTTAATAAATTAACATGGTGGTGTATGAAATAATAATAATAATAAAATTGTCAACTGAACGACACAAGGATAGGTACATTGCATCCTGTTTTGATCTAACAGAATAAGTATACATATATATAAAGAGAGAGACATACATCGACATGGAGACACAAAAACAAGGTGAGGGATAAAAATTGTTTGTGTTAAGTTATATCGTTATTAAATTTATTATGTTTTTTTTTAGAGAAAGTACATATTTACACAGAACATTAGAATAAATAAAGTACTATCATTATTATTACAAATGACTATGATGCACAACACACACATTTTCACATTATTGATCAATTAATTAAACAAAATTGTGAAGGAAAAGTTAAAGAGAACAAAAAGAAAATACATGACTTGACTAGTTAAATGAACATACAAAAGTGCACATACATACACTTATATATATACGTAAATTGACGAAGAAAACTTAATCAGGATTAAGGTTAATGTATGCTCTGTTTCTATCTCAAGGACAAAATACTGATAGTGTATACAAGTCATACACGCTATAAAATGATCTATAATTCATATGTAATATTTTTATTGAAGAATAAAAGTACGGATATTAATCAATTAAAAGTCTATCAGAAGGGGTTTTGTGGAGATTTTAAGTAATTACAATAGTTGAAATCATAAATCAATTGAAGCTAGACCACCATGGACAACCTGCAAGCACTGGACGGCCGTTTCGTCCTAGTATGGGACTCCTCAGTAGTGCGCATACAGGTCTGTTGTGAGATGTCAGCTCACTGAAGACAATGGTGAACGGTGGCAATATTCCATGGATTGGTTGAAGTTAGACATTAACATCGTTGGATTCCGGTCGGCTCAGTGGTCTAATGGTTAGGCACTCGCGCGCGAGACTGATAGGTCACGGGTTCGAATCTCGTGGGAGGTTATTGAAATTAATAATCTGTCAACAGCAATGACGGTAAATAAGTTTACACTGCATATATTTAATGTAATGAACCAGTGATGATCTTTGCATATGAGTCCTATGTGAAGTGTACATATGTTTTCTTAGTCAGTCAATCAGCTACATTGTAGGACCAGGCACATATATGCATCGATATAAATTGTTACACCTCATTAGCACAACAAGATGAATATCAAATTCATAAAAGTAGTTACTTCAATGGTAGTAATGTATAAAAGAAAGATTGTGTATAAGGATATAGTACAGGAAGAAAGAATTAATTCGTAGCAATAAAGGTATAAGGTAATTCTAATCTCACGGTTACATACGTTTATTAATTGGAAGTATTTGACAAGAAGTTTTGCTCAACTAAGGTACTAAGGTTTAAGTAACATACTTCACTTATATTAAGTTCATTAGCATTTACTGTTACACAAAATAAGTTGAAATTCACGATTTCTTTTAGGCTACAAATCTAGTGTGATCTGACATTAGGAATTATAAACACTAAACTCATTTTTATTATAAATCTATAATTATAGTACATTATATTTCAAAAGCCAGTGATTTATGGTTCCAAAGTTTGAATAATTAAACCGAAAGCTTTAGTATATTTGGTGTGTAACGAGAAACGGGATGCAGGTCATATGTTTCGTCTTATTTGGGACCATTCAATTGAACATATTTATTTCTTCTCAGTGAAATTCATACCTAATGTATATTGCCTCAAATTCTGATGAAGTATCTACAAAGTTACTTTACCATCCGAGAATCCTGATATATCGTCTGATATAACTGACTGATTAACAGATTATTAAACATCTTTCAAATTGTTACTTCCACTGCTACTACTAATACTAATACTACTACTTCATCATGTTAAAATACTTGAATTCATTAAAAGTGAACACTTTTTCATTCTGTTTCTCCTCTTGACCTGCTCACCTCTATCTCACATTCCATTGAGTTTGTTTATGTTAATTCAACTTACATTTAATTAGTTTTAATACTTATCCATTTTGAAATGATGATGCAAAGTACTAATAAACACATGTTCACTCGTTAAAATTTAAATTTTTATACTATCCAGTTTACTTGATATGCCAACCACTGCCTTGACTGGTGATGTTAGCTGGAGATAGGAGTTAGTTAGTTAGACGCAAAATATCCTATTGGAACACAGTGAGATGAAACTATCTGGACAAATCCCGGATTAATAGAAGTAGTGACAGTATTAGTAATAATAGAAAAAATTATATCTGGAGAAAATATAAATTGATGAAATACTACCAAGATTTATGAGAAATTTAGAGACTTAAGATCTAAGGGAAGACAAGGAATGAACGCACATGGGACATTGCAAACTATTTCGATCCATATCATTCAAGGTTTCTAACCATTGGTCAAGATAATCACACGGACCCACAACGAGGTAGTCTACAACTAGCTAAATGGCTCACTTCAATGGTCAATGACTTTATAAACTGATACTATATCTTAGTTTAGGCGACCCTAGATTTCTTCCAATCTAAAACTACGTTATCTGTCATAATGCGTCGAAGTAGTTGGTGGATGGAGACAGGAATAGTTTGGGTGGGAGCTAGAGGCGGTTAAACCATGAAATGGCATCAGTCCATGAATTGATTGATTGTTAGTATAAGTCATATTGATAGGTGTATGACTACCTAAATATGATTCGAGTGATTATCGCAACAAGTGGTTAAAAACATTTGGCAACATGACTCAAAATACACCATGATGGTGCTGATCCATTTGCTTTTTTCCTCGCCTTACATCTTGAGTTTGAAGATCATCTTGTGTTTCTTTTATCTTGTGCGTGAACTCTTCATTATCGAATCATATTGTTTAGGTCTAATATTTTCTATTACTACTGACACTATTACTACACTCCCATTACTCTGACGCTTGTTTTATCTTTCTGCACTGATATACTATTACAACTTGGGTCTATGGATATATGTGCTAGGTTCTGTATCGTCTATGACTGAATCAATTAACTTGCGTATGACAACCACTTATGAATAAATATTGACAAAATTTTAAAAAGAACACAAAAGACCAAGATAAATAAAGCAGTGTATAAAAGAGTAAATAAAACACGTAAAGAATCCCACCCCTACGCATAAATGGTATACATAACCATGGTTAGAAGACAATTATGAAGAGGAAAGAAGCCTATATTAAAGCTTAGATTCATTGCTTCAGTTGACCGTAAAGAAGCTGACATTGTCCAGACACAGTAAGATCATCAATGTAATAGGACAGTGTCAATCTCAATCTAATCACACATACAAACACACATACATATTACCTCCCATCTACCTTATCTTTTTATTTACCATACAAATGACGAATAATAGATCAACAAAGAAGAAGAAAACAATTAATATAAACAACAAAATGAAAATCAACATTCACCTAAACAGAATTAAAAGTAACCAAGGTTTATAATTGAAATAGAGTAAACACAGTAATAATTTGAATTTGTTCTAAATTGTCCGTCTTAATATTTACTTTGTCGACTTTTCTAAATTTATTTATTTATGATGATGACGATGATAGTCGTGGTACTTCGTATTGAATTGGGAATCAGTGACGATAACAACAACAACAACAACAACAACAAGTGACACTCACTAAGGTTTAACATATTAAAATTGATAAATAAGACAAGGAATTTCTGTAAATAAAAATCCGAATTGAGACATAAAGACAAGAGAAGAAATGAGAGACAACACACAGTGGGAGATGGTTAATGAGTCATATTTATTTATTAATTTTTTTTTGAAGACAGACAAA